AAAGTATTTAAAGAAGTAATGCTGTAAAACATCTCAAATTTGGCATAGGACATAAACCTACAGATGCAAGAATCTGAATAGTCCCCAAACAAGTTAAACAAGACTGATCAAGAAAAAAATAGGGAAGGCTCATATTACAAATATCAAAAAAAAAGATAATAACATTACACATCCTACAGACATTAAAAAGATAAGAAGTTATTATAAACAATTTATGCAAGTAAATTAGAAAACAAATGAAATTGACAATTTCCCAGAAAAATGCAATTTACCAAGACTAACACCAGAACGAAGAGAAAATCCTGATAGCCCTTTATCTATGAAATAAATTAATCCATACTTTTAAAAACTTTCACTTAAAAACCTCTAAGCCCAGATGACTCAATTCAGTGGTTCTAGAGTGGGGCTCATAATTTGCATTTCTGGTATGTTCCCAGGTGATGCTGGTGCTGCTTGTCTAGGTACCACACTTTGAGAATCATTGTTATAGGTTACTTTTCTAGAGTTGTACGCTCAAGAAGTATGTACATTTTAGAGTTTGAAAATGACATTTGTATCCTTTGTAAAATTTTTAATGATTTTTTTATTTATATGTAAGAGCTCTTTATATATTAGCTCTTTGCCAGATATATTGCAGATATTTTCCTCAGTATGTTATATATCTTTCAAACTAATTTATAAGTATTTTGTCATCCAAAAATGTTAAACTTTTATGTAGTCAGGAGGAATAGAAGTTATAAATAAAGCAAGATTAACTATGAGTTTATGTTTATCAAAGCTGGCAATGGAGACATAGGAGTTCATTGTACTCTACTCTCTACTTTCGTATATGTTTGAAATTTTGAAATTTCCCATAATAAAAATATTTCAAACATACCAATTGATCAGTATTAGAGTTTAAATTTATCTATAAGATTTGTTATTAGGTATTTTGAAAGGTAAACCATGTTACACATTTATAGAGCCCATCATAAAAAGTTACATCATAAAACTTTTGTTTTATTGATTTCATATTTTTGTATGTTTGTTTGCAGTGCTTGAAGCTCTTAACATGGAAAAAATGATGTCGACTATTTCTTCCTGGATAGAAAGCCCAAGTCACTCTCTAGTATCAACAGACCAGGGAAATGCTGAGGAAATTCCCATATTAATCATTGAAGGTTTCCTTCTTTTTAACTATAAGTAAGCATCCCCACTCTAATATTGACTCTGAATTATTGGGGAGAAAAGCTTTGTGAACTAAATATGCTGTTATTTTAGGCCCCTTGACACTATATGGAATAGAAGCTACTTTCTGACCATTCCGTATGAAGAATGTAAGAAGAGGAGGAGGTGAGTTTTGGAATTGCCTTTGTGGATTATAATTCAAAAGACAAAATTTATGAAAAACAAGGAAAGCAACATTATTAAGCAATGTGTATATGTCATTTTTCAAACAAGAAAAACCTCAACTCTTTTATACAGTAAGTAGAACCTTTTTCCATAAACAATCATCCGCATGGAGTAATGTAAACTACTTTTCTAAGAAAAGGCTTTTATACCAGCATTTGGCTCATTTCTTCTAAATCTTCAAATGAAGCAATTCTATGTTGATTGTGATTTTAAATTAGTTGGCCTATATTATGTTACAGCCACAAAAACACCAATTAGTTTAAAGCTTAATCCAACATATCAGTAGTTCTATCATTATTTATATTGATATTTGTCTCTTAATTCTTTTATAAAGCACCGCAGAGGGAAAGATAATTATGAATAATAGTCAGTGAGTTACAAAGTTAATTCTTGTGTCAGCGAACTAATTCCATTTTATTGTCTTTATAACTAGCATTGAGTCTAAAAGGTATAGTCTTAATCCTATTTAGATTCAATCTGAGTGATTTTCGCATTATCTTGATCATTATTATTTTACTTTATCAACATGTGTTTTTATCAACATAAAGTTTTCTATGTGTTTTGATAGTACAAGGGTCTACAAGCCTCCAGACCCCCCAGGGTACTTTGATGGCCATGTGTGGCCCATGTACCTAAAGCACAGACGAGAAATGGAGGACATCACATGGGAAATTGGTAAGTGCATTTTCTCCCTCCACAGAAAGCCTTGTACTTGCATTGCCCCAAAGTACACAAAAGAGAGGGCTTTAGGAGGCATTTTCCTCATGTATCACATTATAAAGGGACATTTTAAGCCAGGACACTCTAGGTTCTCTCTCTTCCACAACTGCTCTCCTGGTTTCTCTTTCTTTCCTTATGGCTCTTGTCAAAAGTTCATCAATTTCTAGGTAGTCATTTATTCAATAAATGTTGATTGAATGCTTTTCATGTACAAGATACTGCCCTGGTGATATCAAGAGAAATAAGGCAGACCCAGTGTTTACTCTTATGAGCCAACATTTTATTAGGGAAACAGAATTAAACACACTAGCTGCATGAGCATGTCCTTCCTTGATGTGCTTAGTACAGCGACACTGAGCACCTGCGGGGGGACTGCCTGAGTCCCAGTGATCAGGAATGGCTTCCTTGAAGCCACATTTAAACCACATTCTGACAGGCTGAACTGGAAAAAGGGCAGAGGATTGAAGGGATGGAAGATCACCTCAGAGAGCGGGTATGGTACATGAAAATACCAGGAGTTAGGTAGGAATGATCATTACTTGAAAGAAGGTTGGTATATTTGTGGCAGAGAAAACCAAGGACGAGAGGTCATGCTGGTAATACAGGAAAGGTCCAAAGTCTGCAAGGCCATAGGCCAGTTAAAAACTGTGTCATTATCTCAAGAGAAGTGGGAAGCCTTCTACAGAGAGTCTTTGAACAAGGCCATGATAGATGTCAGATTCTTGTTTTAGTAAGATTCCTCTGGCTATGTGGAGGGTGGATGTAGAAGGTGTGATATTGGATGTACTCTACAGAACTGGGTGATGGCATAATTATGGAGGAGGCGGGAAACTGAGTTATCAAGAACAAGGTCTTGAGAACTGGCAGGTGCTATTTCAGAGAACAGGAAAAAAGCAAAGGAGTTGTAGGTTCATAAGGGAGGAATGAAAGTTTATTTTGTACATAATGAGGTCAAGATGCCTGAGAGACATAAAGCAGCTATTTAACCATGTAGATATATGGAACCAGGCTGAGAACAGACCACTGTTATACAAAGCTCAACACAGAGAAAATACAGGAGGCTGGAGAGAGAAGGCCATTCAATGGGGCAGAGGAATCAGAACTGAAGTGTACTTTTCAAAGTAAAGGATCATGAAGCTCATAACCTCCAGGGTGGCTATGTCAGGGCTGTGCAGAAGGCACATAGGGCTTCCTCACTGTCTAGAGGCCATTTGATCTCTTCTTCGGTCAAGTTCAACTCCACTTCCCCATCGCCAAAGTTGCTACTTAGGTTCTGGCCGCATCACTTCCAGTTTGGACCATGGTTACAGGGATATCTTCATCTTACTGCCCCTCTCTTACCTAAATTGCAAATCTAACCATGCCTCTGCCTTACTATATACCTTTAAAGAATTGGGCCAAGACCCACACAGCCAGACATTAAGGTTTTAAAACAAAGCCATGTCCTTGCTCTATAACCTCATCTCTAAACTGTTCCCACCTCCCCGCTTTCTAGGCTTTCCAAACTGTACATCGTTTTTTTAACAGGTAAAATTCTCTCCTACCTCCCTACCGCTGCAGTTTTCTGACTAGAAGCCATTTTCCTTCCTTTAACATATGTAACTTCTACTTTTTCTCCAAATCCAACTATGCCAGTTTTATTAAAAATCTTTTGGGCCTGGAGAATTTTGATTCAGTACATATATAGCAGTTCCCAGACCCCTGAATGGTTTAAGAAGCTTCACAGATAATCTTGATGCATAAGTAAGTTGGAGAACTACTCCCTTGAATGATTCTTTTGGAGAGAGACTTCTTCAGTCTTCCTAAAGTCCCATATTTACAATGCCACGTAATTCTCTTTTTCTTTCTTTTTTTTAAAAAATAATTATCATATTAGCTAGTGTTCATTTCTCTGTAATAAACCAAAATTTTTCACCTGTTGTTTCTGGCTATAATCTATTTCTGTCTTTAATGGCTATTAATTTCTTTTTACGTTATGGTCCTGGGTTCTTTGGTTAAACTTATTGGTATTTTCAAGAGACACCAAGTACAAAAGTAGGCGCCTTGTATTAATAAGCTTGTTAGCATTCAAACTGCTTTCTTTTTTCCTTTTCAGTTTACCTAGATGGAACAAAATCTGAAGAGGAACTGTTTTCACAAGTGTATGAAGATCTAAGACAAGAACTAGCAAAGCGAAAATATTAAGTATTGTACTATCGAAGTGGATGGTGAAAGAACAGCCAGAAATATAGTTTATTACATACCCAAGAGTAACATACCAGAATGCTAATGTAGAATTGTATCCATTCATTCATTGCTTTGAAGATAATTCAGAATCAGAAACTCGGAATAGGTTTAGAGACTTGATTATTTTTTTAAGGGTGAAAATATTCACCCTTTGTTATATCTCTTAATGATAATTATGTTTTTTAGTTTAAATATTTTAGTATATGGCAGTTACTTCAATGAGGCTGAAATTACCTTTAGGCCTAATGAAGTTAAAATGCTGGTAGTCTTGTTTTAATATGTCTAGAGCTCCTCCGTCTTTATTCCTCTTAAAGATTTTCTATGAATTTCTTATTTCCCAAATTCCTCAAAAGTAAACAGAAGATTTAAAACATTATTTATTATTTCTTTAAGGTTTTCATATTAGATGACACATTTTTAAAGTGATGGAAATCCCTCTAAATCTGGCTTAAGCAGAAAGAAAGTACAGGGCAGCAGTCACTGACAGAAATCATGTCTGTTGGAAGCACCATCCTTCTGTGTCCAGCAGCCCCAGTGGAAAAAGACAGTTTATCCTTTTTCAAGATTCTTCATGAGTTGATAAATGTTGAAGCTAGGTATTGTGTACAAGGGGTTTATATATTATTGTTTCTATTTTTGCATATGTTTAAATTTTTTTATTTTAAACAGTTTTTTAAAAAGTAGTTTTCCATTTTAGCCCAACCGAAAAGTCCCAGGGAAGACTTTGATTGGTCCTTCTTGGGTCACATGACTTTTGCTAAACCAATCATTAGGGCCAGGGAGATGATATACTCTGACTGAATAGGACTGGATCATATTTTGATCTTGTAATTAATTGAATACATCTCCTAAGCCCTCCTGACTTAAGGGGAGAAATTCCCCAAAGAGAAAGCAGGTAACGAGGTAGAAACCAGGACAAGAAGGATGACTGAAAGAATAAAACTATAGATCTAACTGCTGTTATATTTGAATTAAAAGGGTTTTCATGGCTAACACATGCAAAATGCAATAATCAACTGATTCAAGAGAAGACAGTATGAGTCACTCCAGCACTGAAGAATATTAAATGTATTTTTGGTGTGACACAACTACCCTAGCCCCAACATCATCATCTCTCAATAAAAATTAGATTAACTATATCCTCAGAATATTCCTATCTGACTAGGGAACTGAGCGTAGCCAGGCAGCCCATTGATGCTACATACTCCTAATTTCAGGATCAGCCCTTCGTGTGAACATGAACACATTTGAAGAAATTTCAGGACCATTTTAAATTTCTTCTTAGAGGAACTTATTATCCTTGCCAGATATGCTGCCCACTCCTGCCATCTGTTACTCTGATGAAAAACAGACCCACAGTGAAGCTCAGGGCACCAGCATGAGTGAATATAAAGAGTGAAGGGGGAAGGGAGGGGCTCAGCTTTCATATATGATAGCACTCGAGCCAGATCCACTTTTATAGGAGTTATAGGCTCCTTTCTGGCCCTAATGAGATACTTCCAAGGGTGTTTCAGCTGTTGTACACCTAGACTTTTCCATTTTCTTGATAATGGCCAGTGCTCATGTCCAATTCTCCTTTAGTGATTAAGTCATATACTGGAAGTTGACATTATGATCTCCTTGGTGATATGAAAGGAGCCTTGATCATGTAGCTCAGGCAAATTGCACCTAGTTCTGTACCAAATTCCAGCTTTGGCCATCTGGTCCAAGCCCAAGAATAGCTGGCATGTTTTGACAGGCACGGAAAACCCACAAAGGTACATGTCCATGTGTGTGACACCTTCCTCTTTCCTTGCCTATATCCTAGAGGAAATATTCAATTATACCTTTTAAGGCTACCTTGCTTGTGTTCTGGTTATTGGATAAAGTTTAAAAAATATATATGTAACAGATGTTAGAAGAGACATAAAATCCAAAACAGATCAGCTTTTCCTACCTCCACGATCTGTGTTATGTTTGTTTTTTTTTTTTTCCAGTTGCATAAATAAGTCACTGAGTTATATTACTCCACCATTTTTCACATTTCTTCCAACCACAATGCCCTGGCAAAGCCAGCCTGGAGGGATCCTAAGCGTGGCCCAGTTTAACCCTCAGTTTGGGAATGAGGTAGTACAGAAGCCTTTCAGAGGTTTCAGTTGACTACTCTTCAGGCTTCTCATAACATATCATAAAACTGCTTAACTAATTTTTCACTCTAAGCACATAAAATCCTCATTATGAGAAAGTAATAATGAAAGGGAAACAAAGATTGCATTTAATTATTAATGAAACAATAAATGTCTTAGGAAAGTAAGGATATGAAGTATGTGTTTAATCAATCCTTATTTAAATCCAGATTTTGAGGCAAAATTGAATCATTCCCTATTCTCACTATAACAAGGCAGTCTAGCCACCAGCAACATTCAAACTTTCTTTTAAAATGTTTATTTTCATCTCATTATAAAAGTACCTTAATTACAAAAACTTTTAATGAAGAAAAAAAATCACCTATATTTTCAGCAATCAGCAATGTTAACATTTTAATGAGTATGCATTCAATGTTTTTACCATTCACATCAGTCTCTTTTTATATAGTTACATACTTTACATGGTTAACTGCCATACTTCTTTCTTTCTTAAAATTAATATCTAAGAAGCTTAACAGTGTTCATTGTATAATGAAACTGGATAAAACTAAATAGCTCTCCCAGTTAAAGAACTGAAGGCTGAGTTCTGTTTTGCTCATTGAAAGCAATTTATAAGACTTGACAGAGACATCTTAGTGCAGGAAATGCCACATATCTAGTTTCAAGTCATAGGAATAAGAAATTACAAAATAAAACTTTAATCAAATGTTTATATTTTTCTTTTTGGCATTTTTCTATATTAAATTTGTGAAAATGTGATTTCCAGTTATAAAGTAATAGTATAATTACCTAGTATAATAGTCCAAATTGACATAAGATTATTGAGTCATTTCCCATTTGTTGGATATTTAGTATGGGTACAGTTTTTCACATTAGCAAATAACATGCTATAAAAATATCTGCACATATTTCTGGTTTTCTTCTTGAATTAAAAGTTTTCAAAAGTAGCACTTGCTTGGTCAAAAAGTATAATCATTTTTACATTTTACATACTTAAAGATTAAATACTGTACTAGAAAATGTGTTTCTCCAACATGAGCTGTGTAATAAGAATATAGTAGGTTTATCATTGGAGCTCTAAGCCAAAGTCACTTAGCAGTCAGCTAGGCTTCCTTGATTTAAGAAAAAAAAAATTAAAGTAACAACACTTCTTTTCCCAAATCAAGGATTACACTCTAAAACAAGAATTCTACTGCAGCCTTTGTAATATTCTAGTTCTCAAACTATTTCATTCCTTGAAATCAAGGATTATTATACCAATTGTAAACGATATTAGATATCTGATATCTTAAGTTAGGCTTAAATTCAATGCAAAGATTAACAGAATGAGACTTGGACTCTATTTAGTTCTTTATGGAAAACCAGCATTTCTGGCTACAGAATACCTGTAATCTTAACATCGTTAGGATACTATTGTTAATGTGAAGGTTTAATAAAACGAGAACTGGAATTCTCCATTAATTTATTTGCTATTATATTTATTCTCAAGGTCTGCAAGGAACAGCATAAAGATGGAATCCACTAAATCCTTCCTGGGGTGAATTAGGAAACTCGAAAGAACGTATTCAAGAACCTTAACCAAGATATAATACATACTTTGGTACAATGACAGTTGTTTGTTCTATCACATGTGCTTTTCCCAAGTAAATAGTTATCCATGACAGTGTGTGGGAATTTACCTTAATGACTTGTTCTCAGTCCCAGAAGTGTACAGATATAACACTGTAAGTCAGTTCTTCTAGACTAATGATTGTCAAATTTTCCTGAATGGGAACGTTTTATATAACATTACAGTGTGCATGTAATCTATTATGTGTGTGTTTGTGTATATGTGCCTATGTGTATGTGACTGTGTGTGTATGTGTCTGTATGTACATGTATATATGTGTGTGTGTATACACAGACATGTTAAGCATCATAAAACATTTACCTTATATACAGTGTACTCTGGTATTTTTCTATTTTTAATATTTTTTAAATATCTGTTTACCATTCCATACCAATGCCCATTTTCTGCAAATAATGGCATTACCAGGAGTAGCGGTCACATAAAATAAATCAACAGTTCCTTATAGTATCCTTCATGGGAGTGTTATGTCATTGTTAATTCTGTTATTGTTTTTTGCATGTATCTAAAAACCACTGAATCATTGTGTCACTTAACATTGAGACGTTATAAAAAGGGTTTTTTCCTGTGTTTTATTTTGTTTTTGTCAAACCAATAGTCTAAAGTCACAGAAATAAGTTACAGTTACTTCAATGACATGTTATACAAGAGACCTTCATTGAAAAATACAAACAGAAAATCTGAATTGTATGATTATTTGAGGTCTCTGTCCGTGCTGGAACTTATATTATCTACTGTACTGATCAACTTTTTGTTTATAAATAGTGAACAGATTTCTCACAACCCTCTTTATTCTTACAAATATAAAATATATTCTAACATTAACTTTAAACGTTCTCTGCAGACTCATTTAATCACCATTCATTTCTATATTTCTAACTAGCTTGCACTCAGTGACGATTGGGGGTTATTTGGTCACACATTCTACAAAAGAAACACACTCTACAAAAAACAAACAAAACAACCTGGGCTCTAATTACAATTCATTATTTAATAGCTATATGACTTTGATCAAGCAAATTAGAGTCTTATTTTCTCATTTTAAGATGAGGATATCAACATTACTTATTAAGGTGTAGTATACAGTAAGGATCAAGTTCAAAATCCTTAATAGGGCCTCCAAGGCATCCCCTGATCTAGTCTCTGCATAGTTCTCTACCCTCATTTCCCATCATTCAGGGGGACCTTCCTGCCTCCCAGCTGACAAACATGCTGCTCCCAATGCTTAGAGCAAACTCCTGCAACCCTTACCTTCAACCAGCTTGCTGACTCCTATTCCTTCAGATTGCCCCAAAAATCCCACTTCAGGGAGGCCTTCCTGATCCAACCCCGCCCCCCACCCCCCGCAACATAGGTGCTCTTAAAGCCTTCCTACTTATTCCTCAAAGTACTAATTATAATTGTAATTATACAGCCACTTACAGAATCACTCATTTAGTGGTTGTCCCTCCATCTAGACTTCGAGCTCGATAAACACATTTCTACTAACTAGCACAGTGTCTGCCACATGTACTTTTTATAAATTACTGTATCAGGACTGAGTTCACAAGCGACCAATATATTACTTAACTGATAGTACCTTAAACTCATTGGGGTTTATTTCTTTTACATAACAGAAAAATACAAGCCAGAGTCCAGGGTTTGTACATAGAGTTGCCAGATTTACTGAAAAATCTGGAGGACACACAGTTAAATTTGAAATTCAGGTAAACTATAAATTAGTATAAGTCCCAAATATTACATACCTAAGACTTGCTGTTTTTCTGAAATTCAAATTCAATTGAGTGTCTTGTATTTTATCTGAGACCTTTAACCACAACTCAGAAGTGTCATGAAAAAGCCAGGGTCTTTCATGCTTGGCATGTGGACCTATCACCAGGAGGTCACAAGAAGGCAATGGTAGCTCCCTGAATAGCTATCAGCTATGAAGGGGGGAAGACAGTTGTAGGGAAGCACAGACAGCCACATGACATCCCAAATCACCCAACAGTGTCTCCAACAGACTTCCCTATATGTTTCTGGGCCAAGAGCTGACTCGCATAACCACTTTTTACTGCAAGGGAGGCTGAGAAGAGGATGTCATGATATATTTGGACCAATTATAATTCATTGCCTGGGATGTTGCCACGGGAACAAAATCAAGCCTTTTCTAGCAAAGAGGAGGAGTAAATAGGTAAGGAGAAGGAAGTTTTGGACATGATTTTATCAACCTTGGGATGCTGCAAATTCAAATTACTGTTATCAAAACTAGGATTTTTTTTTTAGAATAAACGTCTATATATGATTTTTCAAACTTGATTTCCAAGAATTCCTGAAATAGCTTCTCCCTCATATAGAGAGGGATGTCCCTGCTGATTGAGAATTATTACACTTTACTTCTCCCCATTTCAGCATGTGAAAATAGGTCAGAGAAAGCCTATCTTGAAGAGAAAATCTTAACAGACATTAAAAATGGAAATATTCAAACCATTTATTTCTTTTAGGAAGAAAGATATCTTTTTGCTTACTACTATCAGTGAAAAATAAATCAAGAATTTGAAATAAAGAATGCCAGTGCCTTATTTCTAGATGTGCGGTTTCAAGCGATTTACTCTTACCAATGTAGATAATGATATGTTGTATCTTTCAAAAGGCACATATTCTATTGATAGAGAAAATCTGCTGAAGTCTTCACTTTCTGTGCACAAATAACCTCAATCCCTTTAGACTAACTTTGCTGTTGGGAAGCTTCATTCTGCTTAGTATTAAACAGGAAGGAGTTTATAAGAGGACCTCATGCAGGGAGACTGTTATGCTAAAAGGTGAGATGCAAGACTGGTTTATCATTTAAGGATATGCTTGTGGTAAAACATAGAATCACAAACTGTTGGAGCAACATCAACTGGTCTAATGCTGTATACTTCAGTATGGAAATTAAAACCAGAGCTGGTGACCTTATGCAGCTAGTGAGTGACGGGACCAGGCCACAATCCCTCACCACTTAAACACTATACTATACTACACTACACTACACTACACTACACTACACTACACTACACTACACTACACACACGCACACACGCACGCACGCACACACACACACACATACACACACACTTTTAATTTTAAAGCAAAGAATAAGAGAAAAATCACCTGCTAGAATACATCATCTCTCCCTCTCTCCTTTGAAGAGAACACATTGAGGAGCCTGAAAAGACAAGGGCTATATCAGGGGGAAAAAATGAAGCTTTCTGTTTTGAACTATTGGAGCCTACTCAAGGAGGCAAGCCGATTCATGAGGTCGTCCATGGGGTAAGAAGCAGTGGTGAGCTGATGTGAGCTCCATGCTGTGCCGACCTTAGGTTTGTGGCTCCAGCTGTTCTTTCAAGACTCCATCCACGGTGGAGAGTTAGGGAAAAACAAGTGTATGATTTTATTAATTCTCAGCTCCAAATTCTTCATTTTACCTCACCTGTAAAAACGAATCTGAGCCCTTTAAATATTTTTCCTTTGCCAAGTGGAACGATGTTAAGCTTTGTCAACAGAGGGCGCTGGAGAGACATTGAAGCGGGAAAGAATTTTGCTGCTTGGCTCCTGCGGGTCCACAATTGTAGCAGAGTTCCTCCGGTGAGACACCTCCCCATGAGTGACTTTCCTATAGCACCCTAGGGTGGGGGCGGGTTCCAAAAATTCCAGAGGATGGATTTCCAGCTAGTTTGGCTGGCGTGGCACCACAGCTACTTCCCAACCATTCAGTGAGCCATGGCAGTGCCTTCTCCAACAAGCTCTGGCTCTCATTACTCGTTCATCTCTTCCTTGGGTGTTTTATCTCAGTCATAGGAGATGTGGCTATTCCTTAAGAGTTCTCTTTATTTCTTAGCCAATCCTTTGTGTGTATTCTATTTAAATAATTAAAAAATAATTGTAATTATTAAATTATTTATGTCTTTA